GATTGGTAAATAGCAAGATCTGACTACTGAGTGATGGCAGCAGAGAGGGAGAATCTAGAAACAGGAATGAGGAATTTGCCTGTTCCCACTTTTGGCCAATGTGTTAGGGAGCACAAGAAAAGTTCCATCCAGTAATGGAGAGGTTGACCAGGTGACACAATATCTTCTGGGGGAACCAGGTGTCCATTTAGTGCAAGAAAATGGAAGCAGAATGAAAAGAAGAGGTCTAATAGGAAGGGAAGTTTCTTCAATAGAACTGAGTTCTGTAGGGCACAATGGAAGATTAGAAAGGTTCTCATGAGGGGTAGGGCTAAAGTGGATAGGGATGAGGGGTTAGGGAGTAGTAACAGGGGTAGCAAGTTTTTGCCCACAAAACCTGCAACTCTGAATAACAGGATTTCAAAGATGAAGAGGAGGGAGTATGCTAACTAACCATGTTAACTACCTGCTGCAGACTCAGCTTGGTGGTAATGGAGTGCTGAAACAACCTTCCCACTTGGCTGAATTGTGTCCTACTGGTGAGAGGCTATTAGGCTATAAGATCCTTAAGAATGGGGAATCTTTCTTTGTATCACTAGCACTTTGCACAGTACCTGATACATAGTAGGCACTTCATAAATTTTTTTCGATTGACTGACTGAATAGTTATTTTCCCAACATTTTGCAACCATGAGTGTAGAAATGGGTGGGACCACAGTGGACTGACTGAGAGCTATTTTCTATTTTACTTCTTTTTTATGGGTCACCAAAATCCAAAAAGAAATCATCACTAAGTGACCAGCTTCTTGGTGATGAGCCTTGTCAAACTTAGCTGTTGATCCTCAGAAAGCACATATATTTTATTCCTGAGACTATTGTCATGTATTATGTACAGTCTTATTAAGCTGTATCTTCCTCTACAGCCTCTAATACAGTACCTTCCACATAATAGGGGTTCAACAAATTATTTTGAGTGAATGACTGATTCATTCCTCTTTTTTTGTTCAATCTACTCTTGTCTCAGCTAGCTTCCCAATTCAATAAGATTCATCTTGCCTTTTCCCCCAAAATCTTACTATTTAGACTTAAAACATCCTTTTCTTTGTAATTTGTTTGGTTTTTTATATCTGAATGAGTTTTGAAGAGAAGAAAAAAGAGACTAGTGCCGAGAAATCAAAGGCCTCAACTTGTTCCAGCAAGAATTTCAATAATCAAAACTCTTTTTCATTTATTTTCTCCCAAGGTGCTTTCATAGATAAATAAAACTGCTGCGCTTCCTTCAGTTTTATTCCTACAGGGTTAGATCTTAATCTTTGATCATTTTAGTAAAGCTTGAAAAAATAATTGCCTACTTTTATTACAAATCTTATCTGTTCATATTCAATATGAATAAGGGATATTGTTACTGGTATTGTTCATTTTTACTTATTGGAACCCTTTATCAAAATGTCTTTAGTCTCAAAGCAAAGTAACTCTTTACCTGATGGACTTCTGCCTTAACACATGTACCAACATGAGTCAGTGCAAAACTTTTTCAATTCTTCTCAATTCTCCAACCCCACTCTTGTACCCCTTTGCTCTTGATGAATAACCTTACTTCCTACTTTACCAAGGGCATTTCACTGAGAAAGAAGGGACAGGTCACTTTCAAATCCATTCTCCTCTCTCCATTCCTATTTCCCTCACTCTACTTCAGGGCTTTATTATTTCTAAATTGTCTGGACTCCTACAATGGCCTCCTAATTGATCTCTTTGTCCCTAGGCTTTCCCAGCATTAATCTAAACTTGATAACCCTGTCAGACAGTGATGTTACTTCCCCACTAAAATTCTTTCTGTGGCTCCCCAGCCACCTTCTACATCAGGTTACCTACCTAACCTAGCATGCAAGATCTTCCACAATTTGGTTCCAACCTCATTCTCTAGCCAAATTGTTATTACTTGCTATTCCCCTGAAACATATCTTTTTCTCATCCTATTAAATAAAGAATGGGTGACTGATAGACTCTGGAATGTACCTCAGTAGGCCTTCTAGTCCAGTTACAGATGAGGAGACTGAAGCTCAGAGAAGTTAAGTTATTAGCCCAGGATCTCACAGATAGTAAGTCTTTAGGTTACATGTTTAAAATCATTAGTCCAGAACTGGAAGGGACCTCAAAGGTCCTTGAGTCCCATCCTTTCATTTTATAAATGAAGAAACTGAGGCCCAGGGAGATTAAGTTATTTGCCCAAGGTCACACAGGTAGTAATCATTAAAGTGGGCTTTGAACCCACAGATATTCAAGACTCAAATAATAAGGAAGTTCTACTAGTATTTCTCATAGTTTTAAACCATATTTGCCTCTGCAAAAAATGAGGCTTACAGTCAAATAGGAATATATCTGTTTGACAATTCAAAATTCCCACCATATAAAACAAAGGTTTTCCATAAGAAGTAGACATGCTTTCCCTGTACAGTCCGTGCCTTGCACAGATTGACCCTCACCCCATCCTCACCTCTGCCAAATGGAACCCTTACCTCCCTTCAAGGTTCAGCTCACGTCACCTCCTACAAGAGGTTTTCTTGATTCTTCCAATTCTTTGTGCTCATACACACCAAAATGACTTTGTGTTTCTTTTGCACATATTATACATTTACTTATCTTACACCTATAGTGTACATGGACCACTTTGTGTGCATACCATGAGGCACTTGGAACACTGAAGTAGAAATCCAGTACAGTTCATGCACTGCCTTCCTTAAGCCTGCAGAAAGGCAATATGTCACTTTATTAAATATCCAGTGAGGGGTAGTAATATCTGAATTGTACATCAGGTAGCACTCTTCTTGACCTACTAGCCCAGGAGGGCACCTCAGTTCCTTACTAGCACATATCAGGTATAGCTTCCCAAAAGGTTGCAATATCCCCAGTAGCCACCAGTAGGAATTCAGCCTTGAAATGCTTAGAATACGGCCACATCTAACCCTCAGCTCATACTTCCACACCCCACCTCCCCACACCACACACAATGGCTGTCGAGCCATGCAAGGAGGGTGCCAGTCAGATTTGGAATTTAAGCTAGGGCATGATATGAAATATTGCTGAAAATGTTAAAAATAGAAAATCTATGGCTCTGGTCCCTCCTTCCCTCCACATCTGGACTCTCCTTCAGCAAACTACTACTCACATTCATGTGGCACAAACATTCACTGTACTTGGGCTACATCATTTATTGAACATAGCAAAAATCAATCAATAATCAATCAACAAATGTTTATTAGACACCTACTATATACCAAGCATAGTGGTAAGTACTGGGATAAATTTTTTTTAAGTGAAACAATCCTTCCTCTCAACATTCTATGGAATTCTATTACATTTTATGGAATTATAATAATAGCTTACATTTATATAATTCAAAATTAAATGGGTAATGTTAAGCAGGCCTGAGTGGAGTCCTCTTCCCCCTTGCTTACCCTTTGAGGTACCTGGGCAATAGTCTTGAACCAACAGCTCCTATACCATATACCAGCTCCTATAGATCAGGGAACTGATTAAAAGAAAGGGTTGCCAGAGGCTCTATACCAAAGGTAAAGAAAGAGAAGCATGTAGGAGATGAGACGTCCATCTCACCAGCTGAAGGATTTTCAAGAGCTGCTCATCTCAGCCATCCTAGACTCACTTTTGCTGTGGCTTTTTTTTTCCACTGTGCCTACCCCTTGGTGCCAGAAATTCTGGTCTTAACCACTGGCAGAAAAAGTCTCAGGCTATGACAACTTATAACTGCTACAGTCGGGTAGTCCCCAAAGCAAAAGTCAGCACCTGTTCACCTACGAGAGAATCAGTTATCCCAGCTCCAATGGAGACCACTGTGTACTCCAGTTCCTCCCCTGAAGCACAAGAGCCCTGACCCTTACAGGCTTAGCTCAGCTGCAAAGGCAGCCAGCTCCCTGCACTCAGCATGACAGCCAGGAAGTCTCTCAAGGGCAAGAGAAGGAAAAAGAACCCTTGCCTCATATGCCCATACAAATCTCATCCCTGTCTTCTATCTTGGACAGAATTGCGGTAATTTTACTTCCTCCTATCTTGTTTTTCAGTGTCTCTCTATGGGAACTTCCAAGGTCCCTTGGTACTCCCTTAGCAGTGAAATAACTCTGCAGAAATATCTTCTACGTTTATTTAGGTACCTAGTATAGCACTGCCCTAAGTAGAATGTTAGCTCTTCGGGGCTTTCTTTTTCCAGAATACATTTTATGTAAGGACCAAGATATCTGTTGTAATATAAGTGTTTTGGAAGAAGAAAGCCCCGAATGCTTTGTTCTGCGATTGCTCAGGTAGCACAAAGCAGCTTTATTCCAGCAATATAGAAACAACTTTAGCGAACCTTGTTTCAAAATGGCTTCTGTGAATTTGGTTAAAGGACTTTGCTGATAGTGAGGGTTGGGAGATGAAAAGTCTGAGGGTGTAAAAGTAGAGGTTGGTGGAGAGAGGCAATTCTATTTGCTGATTGAAGGAATTTTTTTTATCACAAGTTTCATGAGAACTTTGAAGTTGATGAAGTTTTTTTTTTCCCCTTTGGACAAATCATTTCCTTCATAGATATGGAAGAGTCATGTATCCTTCTGTGGATTGAAACCTCACAGAAGTGCTTAAGACTAAGGTACTGGCTAAGATAAATAGCCGCAAACCTCATTTTCAGTCTTAAGTAGAACAGTATTTATTAAACAGCCACTGGTACATGGCACTCTATGGGGGCACAGAAAGGCAAATTAAATAAATACACTCCCTCTGTGGCCTCACGCTGCTGAAATCCAAATAAAGTTGACTAAGTTTGGGGGGATGTTTTGCCTTTTTCTGAGGATCAGTGAATAGCATGGAGGGTGTCGGGCAGGGGGAAGGGGATGAGAATTCATTCATTGTCAACACTTCTCATTCAGAACACAGTAATGCTCCATGATCCTTTATGTCCTTGTCCTTAAGATGCATAATGGGAGATCTCGGTTGCTAATGTTTATTTTTTTAATGAAACTTTCTGTTCCTAGGGACATGAAGCCCGACAACATTTTACTTGATGAGCATGGTGAGTAGCGTCCTGTGCACATGTAAGTAGACTAGACAGGAATGATTTATTTTTAATTAGTGGAAAGGTCGTATACATATAAAGGGACTTACATGTATAAAGTGACTTATTTTGCCCAATAGACTTATAGCTGACAGAGATCTTAATGTTGATCCAGTCCATTCCCTCAGACCTCATTTTACAGATGAGGAAACTGAGGCCCCAAGAGGTTAAGTGACTTGTCCAAAGTGACACAGGTAACCCAGTAGAACTGGAATTATAACCCAGGTGCTCTGCTTCAAGCAGTAATCTTCTTCTCAAAGCATCATGCTGCCTCCTGATAGAATGCTTTGGAAAAGTGTGGTAATGAACTTTGATCTTAAATACATTTGCCATGTTGGTAATTGAAAGTGATGAAGTTATGGTTAGACATCTTCACAACAGCTCTCTTGGATCCTTTAGGATCATCTCTTATCAATGAATTTTTCAGACTTGGATGTTTTGTAGCTTAGAGCCCACCTGTGTGTGCGTGCTTCTGTGGGCGGTGTGTGCAGTAAAAGATTCTGGCAATAATTACAAGGTCACCAGAATTACAAGGTTACTCCAAGTTTCCTTAATCATTTAAAACTTACGATGGGATTTGGTAATCAAAATAAAACTCCAAAGGGAGATACACTGTTCTCTTATTTATTTACCTGAGTTTTAAACTGGATTTGTCAGATAACACCTGAGCCTAGAAAGCTGAGCATCAGTTTTTAATGTGACCTCTAATTTCAAAGCACAGGGTAATCATTTATTTATGGCCTGTTTGAAAAGGGCTGGGTATTTTTCCCACTTCCAAATTGTTTTCCTCTCCCTCCGCTTTCTCTACCCCCATTCCCCTACTTCTAATGCTAATAAATTATGAAACATATGCTTCTGGGCGATGGGTAGTATTAGCATACAGGTGTTTTAACTGAAAAAAAAAATTGTCGATTTCTTATTCACACTCTCTGGCAGAGACAAGAGGATTCCCTTAAATTCTGGCACAAATGAACCATAAGATCATAGATTTAGATCTGGAAGAGACTCAGAGGTCACCAAGTCTAACCCCCTCATTTTACAGATAAGAAAATTAAAACCCAGAAAGATTGAATTGACTTGCCCAGAGACACAACCAGTAAGTATCTGAGGCGGAATTTGAACCCAGTTGTCCTTGACTTCAAGCCCAGCACTATATCTACCAAACTGTGCTGATTTTAACCCTGTGCAGCCTCACATCCAGACAGGAATGCACCCACTAATCATAATGAAAGAATAAATGAAGAAAGCATTTATTAATTGATTACAATGTGCTAAGCACTGGGGATGCATCCTCTACCCTCGAGGAGCTTACACTCTAAAGAGGGAAGCAACACATAGAGGCAGTTTCAGCTTGGGTAGAAAGTTGCCAGAGGTTCTTAGGATGTAAGACAAAGGGTAATTATTTTCTTTCATTTCATTTCCATTAATTAAAAAACACATCGGGCAGTTCGGTGGTACGGTGAGTTCAAATCCAGCCTTAGCCGCTTACTAGCTGTGTATCCCTGGGCAAGTCACTTAACCTCTGTTTGCCTCAGTTTCCTCAACTATAAAGTGGGAATAATAATAGTACTTCCCTCCCAGGGTTGTTGTGAGGATCAATGAGATAGTATTTGCAAAGCTCTCAACACAATGTCTGGCACATCATAGGTACTTTATAAAAGCTTGTTTCCTTCCTAGTTCTGATATGGGACCAGGAAGTTTGGCATCAAGAACTTTCTTTTCTGGGTGTTCAGTAGCTGTGGCCACTGGGGAGGTGGGGGCTGCAGCACCTGAAGAGGCAATTGCCAAGTCTCACCTCCCCAGCAGTTGCTGGCCTGGATGGTGGCTGTGGGGCCAGGGGGGAAGCAGGAACACTGATATATGGCAGAGAGGAGGGAGCAGCATTACCGTTCCTGTGGCTCTTGGACTGGGGCAGTCAGGGTAGATGATGGCAGAGTTGGTGGGCCTCTTCTCCACAGAGGAATCGTAACATACCTTATCCCTTTATGTCCCTTTTGAAAGTAACTTCACAAATGAGAGAGGTTATCTCATTGGCTTCTTACAACAATCTAATAATGTAGGCAGAGATCATTAGTCCTACCCTACAGATATGGAAACTGAGGCCCAGAGATGTTGAATGACTTGTCCAAGGTCACACAGCCAAGACTAGAACCCATGGCTCCTAAATCCCAGTTCATTGTTTTGCCACCGTACTCCGCTGCTTCCCAAAATAGTGGCCATTCCGTCCTCATTTGTGAAAACCTTAGCACCAATTTATGTTTTTATTCAGGACCATGACAAATGTTGATAGTTTGAGGACACATGCCTTGGTTGATTTCTTTTTCCTACCATGAATCTCATGGCTTTTCTATTATCTCTCACTCTGTAGGCTTCTTGACTGCCCTTGTGATGGGCGGGTGAGAGAGGACAAGCTGAGCACCTTTTACAAGTTCAGCTCTTTCCTTCTTCCCCCAAACACCAGCGCTAGCACATCAACGTCTATTCTGAGAGGGCTGAATTATGCATGGTGGTCCTCTTCCCTCGGGAAGGAACCTTCAAACCTCTGATTTTTCTTACATTCTTTAGCTGTGTCCAAGCCAGTCTCACATCAAGATAAACTCCGTGAAGACTGTACACTGTCTTCCCCATGAATTATTTGGTTAATTCTTGCAGATAGTCAAAGTGTGATTCCAAACACCTCAGTCTGCTGTCTGGCTCCAGTCAGCCCGTGGTGCCTCTGGAAAATACATTCTCAACCTGCATTTTCCTCCTACAGCACTGGAAAGCCAAAGTCCATCTCTACTGGATGGTGTTCTTGAGACTGGGACAAACAATTCTAGCAGGTCCTACTGAGTAAGAAAGGTTTCAGACAAAAGCTAGGCAATGGACTGAGAGAGAATCTAACTAGTCTTTGTTTTCAGAGAGGTAGCTCTGCCCTGTCCTTACAGGAGGTTATGTTCTTGTACATTCTGAGCTTTGCTTGTAAAGGAAAAAGACAAATGACAAGAACACACTCTCATAAATGGTATTTTAATATAAAAGCATGTAATAAAAATATATTAGAAATATATAATTAGAAATTAGAATTAGATATATCTGTATCTAATATATAAATATATAGTTGGAAATTAGAAATTAGAAATAAAGAAAAAATAGAAGATATATATTATATAAAATATGTATATATTATACTATATATATCTATGTTTGGGGGATCAGAATCAGTGCAAATTAATTCCTATTCCCTGTACCTTCCACAGCTATTAAGTCAATAATTGATCACAGGATAGTAGATTTACAGCCAGAAGGGACCCAAGTGGTTGTCCTCAGCTCGCTAACGCTTCCCTCCCCAAATTATATTGTATTTATCTTGTAAATACATTTTATGTGCAAATACATTTTTATGTAGTTACTTGCTGTCTCTCCTCCTTGTAATGGAAGCTCCCCGAGGGCATGGACTGTTTCATTTTTGTCACTGTATTCCCAGTCCCTAGCATAATGCCTGGCACATGGGGCTTAGTGAATGTGTGGTGATTGGTTAATTGATTGGTCTAGTCTGACCCCCTCATTTTAAAGATGAGGAGAGACTGATGCTGAAAAAGGAGAAGCAATCTCTTAGGTCACACAGGTAGTAAACGGCAAAGTCAAGATTAAAATCTGGGTCTCCTGGCTCCTAGTTCAGTGCTTTTCCCACTGAACCCTAGGAACTTCAGGCAAACTCATAGCCAGATGAAAATGCACAGATAATCAGAACATACCCTTTATTTGCATATCCCTTTATGTTTTTAAAATGTCTTCACAAATGAGATTTATTACATCATTTGATCCTCATCATAACCTTATAAGGTATGCAGGGATTTCTAGCCCAATTTACAGATGAGAAAACTGAAGCCCAAAGAGATTAAGTGATTTGCCCAACATATACCAGACCGATAAGGCCAGTGCTCTACAGAACCTTAGAATTTCAAAGCTGGGAGGAACCATAAAGTACAGTCCTCTCATTTTACAGAGGAAGAAACTGAGGCTCAGAGAGGGGAAATGTCTTATTCATAACCACATAAGTATTCGTTGGCAGAGTCAGTACAAACACTCAGTCTTCCCCTCTCAGTTCACTAATTTTCCCACTACATCCCTTTGCCTCACACTGCCACACACTTGACTGTCCCTCAGTCGGCAGCTGATAGATACGTCCTGATATATCTTTCATGCTGTCCTAACAGTGCAGATGGCAGATGAGTAGAGCAGGCTATCTTGAACATTTTCTGTTAAATCATGCCCGACACAAGCCTGAAAACAAGACTGCAACTCAGGATGGAATCCATGCTTCTATGCAGGCCCAGGAAAATGGGATTTCTTTAAGAGAGCCCTCAGTGAACCAGTGTTTTCAGGAATTGCTTTGGGTCCCTGACCATCCTCACTGTGAGGGGGCACACATGAGATAATTAGAAGATTTGAGTCTTCTTGGGTCTTCTGTCCTAACTCTGTCACCTACTAAGAAAATCACTTTGCGTAAATCATTTCCTCTGTCTTAGCTTGAAGGAATTGTAGCAAAGGCCTTTCCAATTCCAAAATGCTTTGAATATCACCTTCTTCATCCACAAAATAGCAATAATGCTACATAGCTTACCTCATAGGAATTTGTTTGTTTTGAAGATGAAATAAGAAGCTGTATTTGAAAGTGTTTTGAAAACTGTATAGCACTTTATATGATGGAAGATCTTATTTTAAAAACAGCAATAATATGCTATGGTTGAAAATTAAGCTGAGAGACAATGGTCTGAGCACGATCAATTTATTAGTTAGGCTAATTAGTTAGGGCTGCAGTAACCAATAAATTGGGTCATTAGACTCTCAAAAACCAAAGACCCAAGTGGGGCTGACTAGCCTTCCCATGGTTTCGGGAAATACAAGAGAACAAAGAACAGAGTTGGATAGGTGGGCTAGACAAAGCGATTGGTTACAGGATAGACAGCAACATG